ATCAGCCAATAGCTCACCTGTTCCCTCCAAAGTAACATTCACAAGACGGGTGTCTTGCGTTCGCTCTTCAAATTTGACCTTGAAAAACAATGACGCGTCGACCGCAACAGAGACGCAGCCCGTGCCATTCGTCTGGTAGGAGAACATAGTTGGAAAATTAAGTCAAGCACAGGCATAAGGACTCAGCATTACAGCAGGAGTCACACACACACACACACCTTTGCGCTTTCAGTCAGGCACGGTCTCCTCAAATCACCAAGCAGAATGGATTCGAACGGATCGCGGCACGCTTCCACCGAGGCTCGACCGGGTACGGGTTGGCCGCGTGTATCTGGGAAACACAAGTACGAGATAAACGACTGATCGCGTCGGTCATCGAATTGCTCTAACACAAACTGTGGACGATGTAAACTTTGTGGCTTCAAGTGGATGTCTCGTAAAGAGCATAAAGAATACACGCTTGATAGCTCACCTCTTCCCTCCAGAGTAACATTCACGAGACGCGTCTCTTGCGTTCGCTCTTCAAATTTGACCTTGAAAAACAATGACGCGTCAACCGCAACAAAGACGCAGCCCGTGCCATTCGTCTGGTAGGAGAACATAGATGGAAAATTAAGTCGAGCACAGGCATAAGGACTCAGCAGTACGGCAGGAGTCACACACACACACACACACCTTTGCGCTTTCAGTCAGGCACGGTCTGCTCAAATCACCAAGCAGAAGGGATTCCAACGGATCACGGCACGCTTCCACCGAGGCTCGACCGGGTACGGGTTGGCCGCGTGTATCTGGGAAACACAAGTACGAGATAAACGACTGATCGCGTCGGTCATCGAATTGCTCTTACACAAACGGCGGACGATGTAAACTTTGTGGCTTCAAGTGGATGTCTTGTAAAGAGCGTAAAGAAAGCTCACCCGTCCCCTCCCGAGTGACATTCACGAGACGCGTCTCTTGCGTCATTGTTTTTCAATGCTACATTTGGAGAGCAAACACGTCAACCGTAAGAGAGAAACAGCCTGTGCCGTTCATCCGGTCGTAAGGAAATGACTCAGCTAAACTGTGTAACTGGATCCCATCAGTTTATCTGGTACTCATGTTTCCCACTTATGGGCGAGCCATCGAGCATGTATTCTTTATGCCATCTGACAAGACGTCCACTTTAAGACAAAGTTGATATGGTCCACCGTTTCATCACATCCGTTTCATAATTGCCCTTACACAAACGGTGGACGATATCAACTTTGTGTCTTAAAGTGGATGTCTCGTAAAGAGCATAAACGATACATGCTTGATAACTCACCTGTTTCCTCCCAAGAAACATTCACAAGACTCTTGCGTTTGCTCTTCAAATTTAGCGTTGAAAAACAATGACGCGTCAACCGCAACGGAGACGCAGCCCGTGGCATTCGTCTGGTAGGAGAACAAAGATGGACGATTAAGTCAAGCACAGGCATAAGTAAAACACTCAACGGTACGGCAGGAGTCACACACACACCTTTGCGCTTTCAGTCAGGCACGGTCTGCTCAAATCACCAAGCAGAACGGATTCGAACGGATCACGGCACGCCGAGGCTCGACCGGGTACGGGTTGGCCACGTGTATCTGGGAAACACAAGTACGAGATAAACGACCGATCGCATCAGTCATCGAATTGCTCTTACACAAACGGTGGACGATGTAAACTTTGTGGCTTCAAGTGGATGTCTTGTAAAGAGCATAAACAATACATGCTTGATAGCTCACCTGTTCCCTCCCAAGTAACATTCACAAGACGCGTCTCTTGCGTTTGCTCAAAACAATGACGCGTCAACCGCAACGGAGACGCAGCCCGTGGCATTCGTCTGGTAGGAGAACAAAGATGGACGATTAAGTCGAGCACAGGCATAAAAGTAAAACACTCAACGGTACGGCAGGAGTCACACACACACCTTTGCGCTTTCAGTCAGGCACGGTCTGCTCAAATCACCAAGCAGAATGGATTCGAACGGATCACGGCACGCTTCCGGGTACGGGTTGGCCGCGTGTATCTGGGAAACACAAGTACGAGATAAACGACCGATCGCGTCAGTCATCGAATTGCTCTTACACAAACAGTGGACGATATCAACTTTGTGTCTTCAAGTGGAGGTCTTGTAAAGAATACATGCTTAAGATCAGCCAATAGCTCACCTGTTCCCTCCAAAGTAACATTCACAAGACGCGTCTCTTGCGTTCGCTCTTCAAATTTGACCTTGAAAAACAATGACGCGTCGACCGCAACAGAGACGCAGCCCGTGCCATTCGTCTGGTAGGAGAACATAGATGGAAAATTAAGTCAAGCACAGGCATAAGGACTCAGCATTACAGCAGGAGTCACACACACACACACCTTTGCGCTTTCAGTCAGGCACCAAGGCACCACTCAAATCACCAAGCAGAATGGATTCCAACGGATCACGGCACGCTTCCACGGGTTGGCCGTGTGTATCTGGGAAACAAAAGTACGAGATAAACGACTGATCACATGCGTCATTCAACTGCCCTCACCATCTTTTAAACTAAACCCCTGGGTTAAACTCACCTCCACCATGACCATATTTAAAAGCGGTCATTCAACTTCACATTTCACATGGACAAAGCTCTGAAATCACCTGCAAAGACCCAAACAAACTCACATATATTGCAGAATGCGTTCGAAGATGCTGGCTTCAACCAAGGATCACTACTTCCCTGCAAAAGCAGACACCAAACAGATCCAAACCTTGCCTTTTTAAACAGCCCAGCCAGCTGCAGCCACTGACGAGTAGGAGGAGTTCCAAGATCCAATCAGCCGTCGAAACACCAATCAGCTGCCGGAATGATTACGGAAGCCACGTTACCTGTAACACAACAACCGCAAGCAACGCCCCAAAACTAATCACTGTAATACGTACCCAACGGGGTCAAAAAATCTCTATTAATAGACGTCATAATGAATTCCAACCCATCAACTCCATCATATCCGACTGGAGTTTCATTTGATTCACTTCATTGTCTGCTCAGTACTTGACACAAATTCATCTTTGACACCGTTGTCCCAAATCATTCCATGTAGGCCGCATCTGGTTCGTGCACAGTTTCCCTGCGTTGCACGCAACACATCTCAAAAATGTAAATGTACAATTCCCATCACAAACACAATTGGATTCTTACAAAATACATGGCTTTACCCCATTTGGTCCTGCCGCTGAAATAACTCCCTTTTTCATCCATACGTCAAGTCACATATATTTATATAATACAGATTCAATCAATCAATCGAGACAACGTCACAGTGTTTGTTTATTCGTAAAAAACAAAACAAAAAACAAAACACACACTCAAGATTGGTATGACGTTATGATGAGCGATGGTGTCCTAAAATCTCCTGAAGATCTGTTCGATAGACTGGAGCTAAACCATTTGCAGCTTTAGAAGTCAAAAGCAATACCTTGCAATTAATACGGTGGAAAAAGGCTGTTTTTTTAACGTACGAAATATGCTTTTCAAAAACACTTTCAAAAAACACGTTTCTGGTCCACTGCGGGACATGCCGATGCTTTATTTCTGACACGTGCAAAGTACCACGAATCGATGTCACAAACAAATAACTCAAGTTTATTCCATCAAAAATAAAGATGCATCGTAACATAAAACAAATGACTTTTAGGCCAATTGCTGGTTTGTGGCACCGTGCCACTCTCGCTCCACGTGCACGGCTCTTGCACCAGCGCCCCTCTCCGGGCTGTCGGGGGTGGCCTATCGTTTATCCAACTTTCCCCCTCTCACACACAATTGACTGATATTTAAATGAACAAATTCATACAAATTAAATAAGGTGGTAAGTATGGCTCCTACACCACCTCTGAGTATTACCTCTGTCTTGTCTGGATTTCTTAAAAGAAAATGACATGTTTTTGACGTTTAATTAACCCTTTAACAGTCACACTAAGAAATAAATAGGCCATTTTTTTTTAAATATTTTTTTTATAAAATGGTGTTCCTTAGTCCAAATTTAGCAATTTTTCAGTTGTTTTTTTTTTTTTTAAATGACCCAATCAGGAAGCAGATACACATGTCAACCAGCCGGTTGACTTGCCCATTTAGGGTAATTCACGGCATGAAGTAACTAGTATTAGGCATTCGTAGATTTTTTTTCTTGTGTGAATCTTAAGTTGAATATTTTTTCATATAAAAACAGTACAGACAGTAGAAAAACTGTTAACAATATAATCCATTTTCATTTTAAAATCATGTTCTTATTATAACGCATAAAATAAAAACATTCTAAAGTGAACAGTAAACAATATAAATCAAGAAATGTAACACACAAATACAATACTAAACAAATAATTACAACTGTAATCAATAAATAACTACAAATATATACTTATAAATATAATAAATGAATAAATAAATAAATAAATAATCTCATCGTGCATAGGTCTCATCCTTGCCTTACTCTTAACTCATCTCTGGTGATATGCAACAAAGCGCTGGTTTTTGTACAACAACTTCCCATCTCCACATTTGGAACGTCGCCAACGCGACACTCCACTTTTGCACAAGTTGCACCTCCCTCTCTGAGTGTAGGCCGGTGTCCAACGCCATCATGTCAGACTTCCTGGGTGGGGTGGAGAACTCGGGGGTTGGGGCCATGCATTCACAATGCTCACATCGATGATGTACCCAAACAATGGCAGGTACCAGCGCCGGGACTTCATCGGTGTTTTATAGAGGTGCACGAGCGAGTATCAGAGAGATCGATGCCCCCCCATGGCTTGATTGTATGCCAAGACGATGGATGGGCAGGGGACGTCGACCTTCTGTTGCGCCTCCTTTGTGTATCTCTTCACCCCATAAGCATTGCTCAGCAAGGTGACACACTTGTCGTCGAACCACTTTACTGCGACGACTCCCTCTGATGAACGGAAATCAACAAAACCTCGGCCTCGCTTCACCGTTGCACCAACTGAAAGACATGGGAATTTGTTTTTGTGACTACAGCATGCGTCACAAATTTCACACCAACACTGATATAATACCTGTAACAAATGGAAGGCATGTGTACAGTATATCTGCATCAGAAGAAAAATGTGTGTACATGTGTAACAAGAGTTACTTAAAACATCAATTAGTATACCACAGTGACCTATTTTAGTGATATTTAAGTTATTAGAAACCAGAATTAGGTTCGGCTCTTGAAATGAATTGGCTACGACCTCTGTTTGAATAGCAAACGCAGTATCAAAACATTTATTTTAACATTCCAGATGGATTGTGAAACACACAAAAGAAACAATAATAACAAATTTCCCCAAAATAGTCCGTCAGTTAAAAGAAAAGAAAAAAAAAAATCAGTCCAGTCAAATAGTTCAATGTTCAACTCAGTTGAGTTTCAGTTCCAATCAATTCAGTTCCAATGTGGTTTGTCAAAAGGCCTTGTTTCAAATCACTACCGGCAGTGTGTGATAACGTTGGAGATCTCTTTCAATCTTATCTGTACGACGTATCCGAAAATGTGCGGTCCATCCACTTGGTGAGTTGATGGCCACTGGTTACGGTCACACTCCAGAATCACTGAATCGCTGAATCGCAGGATCGCTGGCTCGCCGTAGAATCTCTCTCTCTCTCTCTCAACAGTGGCAAAATATGCACACACACACAAAAAAACCAGTCTGCATACAGCAAATGCAAAATATCGAATTAGTAGCTGTATATGGCTTCATCACTAATCATTCAAAATCAATACAACTCAAACTCTAAATCACTCCGTTTAAACATGAACACAATGCACTTTGTAACATGTCACCTCAAATATGACTTAGAACAGTCAGTAAGAATATATGTGAATAGCGCATATAAGAATGCTTCCTAAGAATAGGAAGGCAAAAATGTGTTACAAACATCCCTTATGCTGGCTCAAAACCTCGTAGCTAAATAAACATACATGAATTCACGTTACGCCATCTCACAATAACAATAGGTTACTGTCGTTGTAGCAGCCCTTCAACTTGGAATAAACAGGCTTGGGAGTGTTTCCATACGGGTGCACTTTTATTCCGACAAGCGTGCATAGCATCAACACCGTGAAAACTTAAAAGGAAAATAACAAAGGCAGTTTAGCTTGATACAAATAATCCTTTGACAAATGCACATAGATAACAGCAAAGCAGGCAACAATCATCACAAAATGAATCTCATTTCCATTTACATAAACATATGAATTAGTATGCAAAATGTACATTACAATGAACCACATACCTCGCTCCGCATATCAAAGGGTGCTAATAGTGATCCAGGGGGGTTTCTGCCACCATTTAACTTAAACTTGGACAAACTTCGTGAATTAGCTTTACTGCCAAACAAAGGAATAACACTTAATATTTTTCGACCTCAGACATGCATCGTCTCATATCATACCTTCCCGCGTTTACACCGTTCATGAGTGAGCGCGTGAGTGTGCGAACACAGAGAAAATATAGTCCCCCCTACAGATAGCATGTCAAAATAAAAGTCTCATAAAATAGAATATAAAAAACAGGATAATCATAATAAAACACTGATACTGGCCAACTACACTCCCACCACTCATGTTATGAAGAGTGAAGAAAAGGATCAACCTGGCTGAACGGCTCATACTCGAGTCTTAAATCTGTATCAGTGTTTCTAGATATGTGCAGATAAGTACTACTTGGCTCTGAGAGTAACCTACGTCACGAGGGGATAAACAGTGTAAACAGTAAGACTGATCAATCACTCTCGAGGAGGAGAACTAGTTTCTGAATGGGCCTTTCTATTATCAAAGGTTTGGTAGGGCGATCTTGTTTCACTGACGTCCTTTCTCCTACTAACACCTTGACACGACGCACTAGTCCATCACTCTCCTGTGTGGCTTCAACCACTCGTCCCAGGTGCCACTGATTTCTAGGGGTATCTTCCTTTACAATGACCAAGTCATCCACCTTAAGGTTCCGTCGAGTCGTATGCCACTTTTGGCGTGTGGAGATGTTCGTGAGATATTCTCTTTTCCACCGGCTCCAGAACTGTTCGACGAGGTACTGGACTCTTCGCCACCTTTTAGCTGCATAGACATCCTCCTTCTCAAATTTGCCAGGCGGTGGAAGGGCAATCTTGGACTTCATCAGTATGAGGTTGTTACGTGGTTGTACGTTGGGGACACTGTTTGTGTTGTTCTTGTTCGTTTTGTTGTTTTCTGTTTCCTGCCTTATAGGTCACGTGACGTCTCCCCGGTTGCGAGTGGGCGGGGCCGACTGTTTTTAAAAGGACGGAGATTCACATTCTCTCTCTCTCTCTCACTGGGTTTAGACCTCGCTCTCCCTCTGGTGCGGTCGGACGCCGTGCTCTCTCCCATGTTCCCTCCTCGCCGTGGTTGCTCATGTCGGAGCGGATGCTGTACCCAAAAGCTCCCGTGGGCTTGGCCGATGTTGCCTTTGAGCTAGATGGCGTCGGAACGGTGTAAACAGACCATGCATTAACCCCAGTACCTGTCCTGACATTTGTGTGGGTGTTATGACGAAGTCGTTTATTTTTGTTTTGAGTTGGTGGTATTGGTGACGGGTTTTTCACTGTTTAGTCTAAGATTATTTTAGAGCAGCAGTCAGTGGACCCGGAAGACTCACCGAGAACTTGTCTTTGTTTTGAACGGGAGGCAGACAAGTGTGTTGGATTCGGTAGATATTAGTGAGCAGGGTTCTTCTTTCTGTTTTCTTTGTTACCGTCCTACCTGTCTTTCTTGTTAACCACTGACAATAAATTACTTTTATATTGTCAACGAACGTTCTTGTGGTTTCTTTATATGTTAGGATGTCCCCGATTAAACTCAGTTAGGGGGCACGTAACATATAAATGGGGGCTCGTTTTGCCGGGTTTTGGACCTTATTTATTGATTCATTTCGATTTTTCCTTAGTAAAAATCTTTTTCAGTGGGGGGTCGTCCTGCACGCTGTGAGAGAGCGCTTCTTTTTTTTGTAGGCTTCTGTGGAAGTTCGCTGATGTATTTATTTATTTTTCCTCTCTTTTCCTTATTGACTGCGGCCCGTTTAGGGAATTTTGTATCATTCGAAATGTTTGATTTAGACGCGTTTATTCTCGCTCCTTCGCAAGAACTGTTGTTATCGATCACACGTGATGACCTTGTTAGAGTTGCCGGGCACTATAAACTTGAAGTGAGTGGTGGCCCTTCCAAGGCTGATTTGCAGGAGATGCTTGTGAAAAGGTTGCGAGAACTGGGAGAGTTTGGAAAAGTGGTTCCTGATATTCCTACATCGCCTGATCAGGGTAAGCGTCTTCCTATTGATCCTTCACCTAGTAAAGCAGCACTAGAATTGAAACGTTTACAGTTAAGAGAGAAGGAGATTGAATGGGAACGGGAGAAAAAATAAACTAGAGGCTGATAGGCGGTTAGTAAGAGAACGAGAACAAAGAGAACACGAATTTAGGTTAAAAGATCTTGAACTTGCGCAAGCATTACGCATTAAAGAGCTCGAAGTGAAGGCTCGTGAGGCTGGTGTAGCGTTTAAGCCAGATCAGTTTGACATAACTCGTAACATTCGTCTCGTTCCACCCTTTAATGAGAGCGAAGTGGATAAGTTCTTTGCACATTTTGAGCGTGTGGCAACAACATTTAAATGGCCTAAGGAAATTTGGACCATGACGTTACAATGTGTCTTTACTGGGAAAGCGCAGGAAGCGTATTCCTCTTTAACTCTGGAAGACGCAGCAGATTATGAAAAAGTTAAACATGCTGTCTTACGCATTTATGCTCTTGTGCCTGAGGCTTATCGACAAAAGTTTCGTAGTTATCTAAAACCTGAAGCTCTTACATTTGTCGAATATGTTCGAGAGAAAGAAATGTTATTTGATCGCTGGCTTAGTTCACAAGAAGTAACAACTTTTCAATCTCTTCGTGATTTGATTATTCTTGAAGATTTTAAAAACGGTCTTCCTCAGACAGTCGCTACTCATGTTAGTGAGCATAAAAATCTGACACCTGCTCGCGCAGCTGTGTTGGCCGACGAGTATGTGCTCACACATAAGCGTGTCCTGCCTAATTTAAAACTTTCTCAGAACGTCCCGGGTCATTCAAATGCGTCTAAAATGTCTAAAGAAATCGTGCCTGTCCCTGCTCATTCTCCAGACCACCGTCCGTCGCGGTCTAGTGGTATCGTTCCGACCTGCGCCTACTGTAAGAAACGTGGTCATGTTTTGTCTGAGTGCTATACTCTAAAACGTAAAAACAAGACGGCAAGTCAGCCAGCTTCTTATAGATCAGAGGTGGGGTTGTGTGTTTCAAATTTGCCTGTGAGTAGTAACGACCCGATTTCTGATAAACACGGTTTTGCGCCGTTTATAATGGATGGTTTCGTCTCTTTGCCTGGGGAGCACTTAAAAACTCCAGTGAAAATTCTGCGGGATACTGGTGCTTCACAGAGCTTTATTTTGCGAGATGCATTACCTTTCTGTGATGAGACTTTTACTGGTGATAGTATCCTGGTACGTGGATTTGAAATGGGTCATGTTAGTGTCCCTTTGCATGAGATCTCTCTTATGACTGATTTAGTTACCGGTAACGTTATCGTGGGGGTACGCCCCTCCTTGCCCATTGAAAATGTATCGATGTTACTTGGTAATGATTTGTGTGGGGGAAAAGTTTTACCTTGCCCCATAGTGTCTCCTGCCCTTCCAAAAACGTGTACTGATGATCTGTCTATTAGCTTCCCTGAAGTTTTTTCCTCTAGTGTCGTTACTCGGGCCATGGCGAGAAAGGAACTAGAACAGGAGACTGAGGAACAGTTTGATCTTAGCGATACTTTTATTGCTCGACCTTCACCCCTTAGCGATAGTGAGTTACGGTTGAATTCGGATTCACTGTCGTTTTCTTCCGAGGTTCCTAAATTTTCTATGAGTCGAGAGGAGCTTATTAAGGAACAGGAAAGTGACCCATCTCTGTCTTCTTTTTTTTTCAGAAGTTTTGTCTGAAGAAGATATTGAGCATACGCCGCATGGCTATTTTTTACGAGATGGTGTCTTAATGCGCAAGTGGAGACCTCTTGTGGCTTCAGCGCAAGATGAGTGGAGAGTTCTTTTTCAAGTTGTTGTCCCAGTTGCTTTTCGTGATAAGGTGCTGAGTTTAGCTCATGACCATCACTTGGCAGGTCATCTTGGCGTTAATAAAACTACGGATAGAGTGTTGCGTCATTTTTTTTGGCCGGGTATTAAGAGAGACGTTGTGAGATACTGTCGAACATGTCACGTGTGTCAGGTTACGGGAAAACCTAATCAGGTGATTCCGCCTGCACCGTTACAGCCGATTCCCGTTGCTTTTGAGCCTTTTGAGAATATTATACTAGACTGTGTGGGCCCATTGCCTCGAACAAAGACTGGGAATCAATGGTTGCTTACCATCATGTGCAGCTCAACTCGTTTTCCAGAAGCTGTTCCGCTCCGTAAAATCACTGCCCCGGTCATTATAAAAGCCCTGATGGGTTTTTTCTCTCTTTTCGGCCTTCCAAAAACAGTTCAGACAGACCGCGGCACTAATTTTATGTCTCGCGTGTTTGCACAAGTTATGCGTCAGCTCGCGGTCCGCCATGTGACATCCACCCCGTACCGACCACAGACTCAAGGTGCATTCGAGGAGTGTCCACCAGACTTTGAAAAGTATACTCAAGTGTTTTTGTCTCGAGTTTCAACGTGATTGGGATGAAGGGGTTCCATCTGCTCTTTTTGCGGTACGAGAGGTTGTACAAGAAAGTTTGGGTTTTAGCCCTTCAGAGCTGGTTTTCGGGCACACGGTTCGTGGACCTTTAAAACTGTTAAAGGAGTCTTGGCTTGCTGAGCCTAAAGATTCCCTCAGTTTGTCGGATTATGTGTCTAAAATGCGTAGTAGACTCAGTCGCGCATGTCAGTTGGCTAGAGATAATTTAGGGCTCCGTCAGAAGAGAATGAAGCAGAGATTTGATCAGAAGGCTGTCTCACGAAGTTTCAGTCCTGGGGATAAAGTTCTTGTGCTGATTCCCGGGTTTGGTTCTGCTTTGCAGGCTCGTTACAGCGGTCCCTATTGTGTCCAACGACGAGTGAGTGACTTAAACTATGTTATCTCTACCCCAGATCGAAAGAGAAAAACTACGCTGTGTCACATCAATCGACTGAAGCGTTTTTGTGATCGAGGAGAAGGTTCAATTTCGGAGCTCAAGTCGCTTTGCCCTTTGGGTAACAGAAATGATGAGCGTGCGTCAAAAGTGGCGCTGTCCAAGAAAGGTGGTGCTGAAGTTGCTGTATCGCTGACTGTGGCGACACCTGCTGAAAATGCGTTTCTATCAGAACAGCTGGGTCCGGTGTTTAGTCCTTTGCTGGAAGATGAGGGTCGTATTCCTTCAAGGGAGATTATTGAAGGGAGAATGGAGAATTCTGAGGTTCTTAATGATTTAGATTTATTTCTGTCTAATTTATCCACCTTAGAACGTAATGATTTAATCTCTCTGTTCAAGCAATATGAGAATCTGTTTCCTGATGTGCCTCGTCGGACAACGAAAATCGAGCATGACATTGATGTGGGCGCTACGCGTCCAATTAAACAACAGCCTTATCGTGTAAATCCACATAAAAGAATGTTGTTTTTAGAAGAGGTGAAGTTCATGCTGAGGAACGGCATTGCAGAGTCTAGTAATAGTCCATGGAGTTCGCCCTGTCTTCTTATTCCAAAGAGTGATGGTACCACGCGGTTTTGCACAGATTTTCGTAGAGTGAACGCTGTTACCAAGCCTGACAGTTATCCCTTGCCACGTGTTGACGATTGTGTTGATCGTTTGGGTTCTGCTGTATTCGTCAGTAAAATTGACCTATTGAAGGGATACTGGCAGGTTCCGTTGACGCTCCGTGCCAGGGAAATCTCCGCTTTTGTGACCCCAGATCACTTCCTGCAGTACACTGCTATGGCCTTCGGTCTTCGAAACGCTCCTGCCACCTTTCAGAGGCTTATCAACAGCGTTCTGGAAGGAGTGTCCAACTGCGAGGCCTATTTAGATGACTTGATCATTTATAGTGATACCTGGGTCTCACATCTGGCCCATCTTTCTACTGTCTTTGACCGATTGTCAGAAGCTAATTTGACCATTAACCTGGCTA